TGCTAGGGATGGCTCGCACCTCCAGCCACTTGCCCACATGTTCCACCATGAACACTATGTACTGATTCCCGCTCCTGCTTAGCGGCAGCTCTCCCGCGAGGTCTAGGGACCATCGGAACCCCAGCCCGCAGATCGGCAGTGAGTGCAGCTCTGATTTGGCCTACGTCAGGTTTGCTTTGCTCCTCTGACATGCCTCACACCCCTCCACCCACTCCTTCACTTGCCTACGCATCCCTTCCCACCACCAGCCCGTCTTCAGCAGGTGCACGGTCCTCTCGTGCCCGAAGTGTCCCAGCTTAGTGTGCACTTTCTTGATCACTGCTTCACGGTCCTTGGGCGCAGGCACCAGCTTCCAGCCATCCTCCGTCTTGATCTGCAGCTGCTGCTGATACCACCTGTAGTGGTGCCCTCGTGCCCTCACCCTTTCTAACACCGTCTCATCCTCTTCGGTTTCTCCCTTCACCCATTCCATTGCCTTTGCATCCTGCCAGATGTCAGCTGGCCCTTTGCTCCCTTTTGCACCGACCTGCTCCACCTCTCTTGCCAGCAAGATCAAGGTGTGTGCTGGCTCCGGCTCTGTTTCCTCCGTCCCTTGTGCTACCTGTTCTGCTTCCAGCGGCGGCGGGTTGCGGGAGAGACCATCAACGTGCTGCAGCGTCTTCCCCGGCCTGTGCTTGATCTTGAAATCATATTCCTGCAACTTCACTGCCCACCTCGCGTTCCTCCCTGTCAGCCCTGGTGTAGTCATCAGCCATGTGAGGGGCTGATGATCAGTGACTAGGGTGAATTCTCTGCCCTGCAGATATATCCGGAAATGCCCGACCGCCCACACTGCCGCCAGCCCCTCCCCGATGTATGAGCTGTACTGTGCCTCCGCTGGGTTGCAGCTCCTGCTGGCGTAGGCCACCACCTTCTCCACTCCCTCCACCTCCTGGCATAGTATTGCCCCCATCCCTTGGCTACTCCAGTCGGTGTACAAGATGAAGGGCTGATCTGCTGCTGGCAGCCGCAGCACTGTTGCTGTCTTCACGGCTGTCATGAGGTCTTGCAGCGCCTCTCTCTGCTTTTCTCCCCACTCCCATGCCTTGTCTGCGCGCAGCATCCCGTTCAGCACCGTCGCTCGCTTACTGAAGTTCGGCACGAAGCACCTGTAGTAGCTGAGGAAGCCCAAGACCGCACGCAGTCCTAATTTGTCTCTCGGTTCCCTTAGCCTGTCCAGCACTTGCACCTTTGCTTGCTGGATCCCAATCTGCCCCCCTGTGACCTCATACCCCAGGTACTGCACTGTCCGCTCCCCCCACTTGCACTTGTTGGGATGGCACGTGAGCCCTGCTCCTTCTATGGCCGTCAGTGTTTTCTCCACATCCTCCAGGTGCTGCTGCTCGGTCAGACTGAAGATCACGACATCATCGATGTAGCACGCCGCGTGTTCTATTCCCCGCAGCACCGCGTCCATAACTCTCTGGAACACTGCCGAGGCGTTCCTCAGGCCGAAGGGCATGTACAGCCACTCGTACAGCCCATCCGGTCCGTGGAAGGCCGTTTTCTTCACGTCCTCCTCTCTTATCTTGATTTGATTGAACCCCTGTCGCAGGTCCAGCGTTGTGAAGAACACCCCGTCCGCCAACTTGTCAAAGAGCTCTTCTGCGATCGGCATGGGGTATCTATCTGGCACTGTGATCTTGTTAAGATCCCTGTAATCTCCGCACATCCTCCTACTCAGCACCTCGCCTGTCAAGTCCTTCCGGGCTGCCACCACGGTTGGGGTGGCGTACTCGGACTCTGACCTCCTAATCAGCCCGGCTTCCAGTAACTCCTTTATCTTCTCCCTGCAGATCAATTCATCCCCTGGTGGCATCTTCCTCCTGCGGTGGAACACCGGTTCGTCACTATTCAGCTTCAGCGCCATCTCTTTGATCTTACACTTCCCCAACTCCAGCAGGGTGAAGGCAAAGCCCTTCCTATGCTTGGCCAGTAGTGCCCGCATAGCTGCCCTCCCTTCCTCGCTCATGCTCTCACCTATCTTCCACTCTGGCTCCTGTTTCTGCAAGCAGGCCCACACCCCTTGCCTCACCGTCGCCACCGTGTTTTCTCCCTCCTTCAGTCCCCAGTGCAGCACTGTCTCTCTCCACATCCGCTGCACCAACCACCTCATCATGTACCCATCCATTGCATTCCCCATTGCCCGCCTCCGTTCCTGTTCAGTCACGCCAGGGGCTGCTGTAGCGTTCTCCTTGTACCCCATGGCCAGCTCCCTCTCCAAGGCCGTGGGCTCCTCCCATCGTCCCTTCCCGTGGTCGAACACTAGTCCTGGGCCTGGCTGCTTCCCGTCCATCTGATACCCTGCTGCCCCCTCATATGACACTAGCGTAGGTAGTGCTTGCCTCTCCTGCCCCACCTGATTGCATGGATAATGTCGGCTGTAGCTCCTCTTATTCACTGGTGCTGGTGTTCGCCCAGGCTCCAGTATATCGCTCAGCTTCCGCCCCTCTGCTCTCTGCACCCCCTCTATCTCCTTCTGCAGGTCTTCCTTTGGCACCACATTCTGCCAGTACATCCTGAGCCTGTGTGCATAGGCTCCCATCCGCGTTGCGTCACTGCTCACTCCCTTCCCCACCTGTCTGGTCACTCGCTCCCTTACCAGTCGTATTGGCTCTCGCACATCTCCTTCCATGTCTAGGTGCTCCAGCAGGTAGGCCACTCTGCCTTGTCTAGCCTGCATCCACTCCATGACCCTGAACAGATCCTCCATCAGTTGTGTCCGTAGGTCTTGCTCACCCTTGCCCTTCCCTGCCCATGATACCCCTTGGCATTCCCACCCAGCCACCAGCAGGTCCACGTGCCCCCAGCTTGCCACCTCAGCCTCCGTGATGGCCCTTACATCATTCACTCCTCTGCTCATTGCTGCCTTGATCACCTCTCCCTTCAGCAGTTCCGGGAACTCTCTATGCAACTGCCATGCATGATGCTCCGCCATTTTCCTTGCTTCTGCTGCCTTCTCTACGTAAATCCACTGCTTCACTGCAATCCCGTTCTGCACCACTGCTGCCAGTCCCGCCCCTATACCTCCGAACAGTTCCACCAGCCGGATAGGTTGCTGCCAATCAGTCTGTTGGCTAGGCTCGTCCATGAACCGCATCCTGGGCTCTCTACCCTGTCCCCTGTCTGTCATGCTCTCCTGTACCCCCTGTTTCGCTGTCATCTCCCTCAGATCTGCCCTGTAGGCCCTTTTTGGCTCTGTCCTGACAAACTGCACAGGCAGTTGTCCCAGTGGCTCACCCTTCCTCCACCACCTGGTTCTGAATTCCACCGTCTCCTTCCAGAAGCAGATGGTCATACCTAGTGCAAAAATCATCTCCGTGCCCACCAGGACGTCAAAATCTTCAGATTCTGAGATCCCACACCTGATCCTAACCGGCGTTTCGTGTTTCTCCCCCTTTAGCACCGTCAGTTCTATTGGAGTCCTTGTACACGGCATCCACTTTGACTCTCCTCCCTCTGCTGTCATCACTAGCATCCCCTTCACTACATGCCTGTCCGGTGCCCACAGTCCCAGCTTCTCGGCCATCCCCTTCCCTAGTATCACGCTTTGTGCGCCAGTGTCTATAATAGCCGTCTTAGCCTTCTCCCCTTCCACAGACAACGCGCCACCTTGGATCAGCAGCACGGAAGTCTGGCACGCCAGCCGCACCTGAGGATGCCGTGCCGCTGTACATCTCTCTTCCCTCTCTCCCGGTTTCTGTCCTTTCTCTCGTTCCTTCCTCACCTGCTCCTTCCGTGCATCCTTTCCTCCGCTGCGCAGCCCCATCTCCTCCCTTCCTCTCCATGCTAAGTATGCTGGCTGCTCCTCGTGTTCCACCTCATCCTCTGCTCTTCCTGCCCAGCTCATGAACGCGGCTTCCTCATCCTGCTCTACATCTTCCTCCTTTTCTTTCTTAGCGTACATCCCCGCTTCTGCTTCGCGTCGAGGTCCCATTGCCTGCAGCTGAGCCTGTAGCTTGCTAATCTGCCTTTCCAGGTCTTTCGTAACACTCTTTTAGCCGCTCCCTCTCGTTGGTAACACTCTTTCGCTGCATGCCCTCCCTTCCCACAGGTTTCACACTTCGGCGCTCTCGGGCACTCCCGTCGCCGATGCCCTGGCTTGCCACAAGAGTCACAGTTCTTGCAGTCTCTGCGTAAGTGTCCTGGCTGCCCGCACCTGTGGCACGTTCGAGTGTCAGGCCTGGTCTCCCCTCTTCCTGCAGCTTTGTCCCTCTCTTCCGGTATCATGGCTGCAGCCCACGTTGGTCCCCTGCCTCGTTCTGCTGCTCGAGGCCTGTATGCCTCGTACTTCCTCTGTGCCAGCTCCATCTTTTCTGCCATCTCAAACACCTCCTCTAGTGTCGTGTCCGCCCCCATCTCGTACACTTTCATCCGCAGCCCGCTCCCTAAAGTGCCCTCCAGCCCGTCCAGGAACTTGCTCACGAGCAGGCCCATGTCTGTGCAACTCACATCCTCCGCCAGGTTGACCAGCCGATTGTAGTAGGTGAGTAGTGACTCGCCCCGCCCCTTCCTGAAATCTTGGAACTCTCTTATCTTCTCTGCAGTATGGCCTGGGAACTGCCGCTTCAGGCGCCTCAGGAATTCTTCCGTTGGATCCTCCCCATACCTTCCTGCCCTCCTCAGTAGCTCATCCATCTTCATCCTATACAATGTCTCTGCCTCCCCTTCCAGTGTGTTGGGCAGGCTCAGAAAGAAGTCCACTGCATCCATGCCGCTCCTCTCGCATCTGTACCGCACATTGCCCACTTGCATGGATAATTCTTCAGCGTGGGCCCCAAGCGCTGGTCCCCAGAGAAGCGTGCTGGCACTTCCACTCTTGTGACCATAGCCGTGCAGCGTGCTTCCCCTTCCTTCTCCCCACGCCTCACTCAACCCGCCTGCTATTCTGCCAGATGTTCCCCTCTCTCTCGCCCGCAGTATCCCCTCCCTTGCCTCTCTGGCCCGCTCCAGGCTGTGCATCAGCCCGCTGCCTCCCCCTCTGCTGCTGCGTTGATCCTGTCCTCCTTCTCCGGCATGTCTTTCGTCACACTGCCTGTATCGCCCAGGCGAGCGAGACCCACCGCCCTGCCTTCCATCCCTGCTTCGCTGCCGCGGCGGCGAGCGATATCTGTCTCCTCGGCTCTCCTCGTGTCGCTGACGCCAATCCGTCGAGCGCGCCTCGCCTCCCCACCTCCCTCCATGATACCGTTGCGTGTCAGGCGAGCGATACCCATCTCCGCGTCCCCCATCATGATAGTGATGCGGATCTGGTGAGCGCGAGTCCCCTTCGCTCCTCCTGCCGTGATACCTCCGCGGATCTGGCGAGTGCGCACTACCTCCGCGTTCTCCGTCACGGCGCTGCCGCGGAACTGGCGAGCGGTAACCGCCTCCGCGCCTCTCGTCATGCGGCGGCCGCGGATCAGGCGAGCGATAGCCGCCTTCGCGCCTCTCGTCACGCTGCAGCCGCGGATCTGGCGAGCGCGCGCCGCCAGCGTGCCTCCCATCGCGATGCCGTCGCTGGCCTGGTGAGCGCGCGCCGTCGCCGCGCCCCACGTCACGGTGCTGCTGCAGATCGGACACGCACACCTCGCCTCCGCGTTTCTCGTCACGGTGCTGACGCGGATTCGGCGGGCGCGAGCCACTGCTACGCCTCCCGCCGTCCTTCTTCTCTTCGCCACGCGATTGGTTCCGACCACCATTCTTCCCATCCGCTTTCGCTGCGCTTGGCTCTGCCGCCACGCCCGCCTGCGTCGGATCGGCCTCCTTGACTCCAGTGGGCATATTGCGCTGCCCGCCTGCGCCTTCCTCCTGGGCTTCGTCATCGCCCTTCGCCTCGCCTTCAGGATCCGTCTCCTGCGCCTTATTCGCCGTGTCGGCCTCGTCCTCTCCGTCAACATCGAGGTCTCCCTGGCGACCAGAGAATAATTCCTCCAGGCCACGCCCGCGACTCCGCTCTTCGCGACGGCGGTAACCTTCGTCCGGCGAGCGATACGCTCCCGTGTCCTGACGATATCCACGATCGCCACCAGCTCCGTGGCGCGCGTCCGTCCGCCACGGGTCACTTCCCATCCTGACGGACTCGGATCCGCCTCTTCCTTCTCGCTCTGCACCTTCTCCTCGGCGATCTGGTGCGAGAGGGACCAGATCTGCGCGGAAGGCTGGCCTCCGCGGCGAGCGCTCAGGCCTCCGCGGTGACCTCTCCAACGAACGCCCGCGCTCACGGGAGCGTTCGCGCCGCGAGCGATCATCCTCACGACGCCCATAGATCCTGCCATATCGCAGCTCGTACACATCCATGCTTGCACGCACACCCTTTCCGTTTGGTATGAAAGCGACGTAACTCTCACCTCAAGGGTCCTCCCTGAGTGGTGTGCCACCTGTATGCAAAGCTGAGGTAACAACAGTCCACTATATGAAAGGATACCAAACGGAAAGCATCAGAGCTGTGTGAGAGAGTGACTTTACCTGACTTGGGCTCGAGCCGTGCATTTCTCAATGTGCGGCTCGAGCCTGGGTTGGTTTAATCACATTGGTCGCGTGGATTTCCCCCTTGGTGCTTTCCTAACAACCTCGCGTCAACTTCCCTGGTTCCCCACCTACCTACCCTCGAATATGCACACACAACATTGCTACACCCAAACCACACCAGAACTACACCTCGATCTAACTGGCACCGTATATGCACAACCGTGCATATTCGGTGACAATGAGCGTGCGCCAGCAGCCGGAAACTGACCTGCCTTGGTCGGAGAGGAGCATGACGGTGCCGGTGCTGTAGTGAGCAATGGGGGGTCAACGGTCAACCTGCCAGCCCACTTGGTCCAGACTTGACTGACCTGTCCTGGTCGGAGAGGAGCATGATGACGGTGCCGGTGCTGTAGTTGGCGATTCTGTCAGCTTTTAACGAGTATGACATGATTGAGTTGTTGTTGACGCACCCCGCCAGCCCCCAGTAGCTCAGGTTGCTGCTGCTGCGCGGCCCAAAGTGCCCAAAAACCGTCACCCAACCGACTGACTCCTGTGGAGTGAGATGGGAGGAGCAAGGGGGGGGCAGGAGATGGAACAGGGGAGATGAAAAGAGGGAGGCGGAAAGAGGGAGGCAGAAAGAGGGAGGCGGAAAGAGGGAGGCGGAAAGAGGGAGGCGGAAAGAGGGAGGCGGAAAGAGGGAAGCGGAAAGAGGGAGGCGGAAAGAGGGAGGCGGAAAGAGGGAGGCGGAAAGAGGGAGGCGGAAAGAGGGAGGCGGAAAGAGGGAGGCGGAAAGAGGGAGGCGGAAAGAGGGAGGCGGAAAGAGGGAGGCGGAAAGAGGGAGGCGGAAAGAGGGAAGCGGAAAGAGGGAGGCGGAAAGAGGGAGGCGGAAAGAGGGAGGCGGAAAGAGGGAGGCGGAAAGAGGGGAAGGGCGGAAAGAGGGAAGCGGAAAGAGGGAGGCGGAAAGAGGGAGGCGGAAAGAGGGAGGCGGAAAGAGGGAGGCGGAAAGTAGCTCAGGTTGCTGCTGCTGCGCAGGCCAAAGTGCCCGAAGACCGTCACCCAACCGACTGACTCCTGTGGCGTGAGCCCAATGGGGTTAAGTGGGTGATGGAAAGAGGGGAGATGGAAAGAGGGGTGATGGAAAGAGGGGTGATGGAAAGAGGGGTGATGGAAAGAGGGGAGATGGAAAGTGGGAAGAGATGGGTGGGAAGAGATGGGTGGGAAGAGATGGAGATGGGTGGGAAGAGATGGAGATGGGTGGGAAGAGATGGGTGAGAAGAGATGGGTGGGAGATGGGTGGGAGGGGATGGGTGGGAAGAGATGGGTGAGAGATGGGTGGGAAGAGATGGAGATGGGCGGGAAGAGATGGGTGGGAAGAGATGGAGATGGGTGGGAAGAGATGGGTGGGAAGAGATGGGTGGGAAGAGATGGGTGAGAGATGGGTGGGAAGAGATGGGTGAGAGATGGGTGGGAAGAGATGGGTGAGAGATGGGTGGGAAGGAAGAGATGGGTGAGAGATGGGTGGGAAGAGATGGGTGAGAGATGGGTGGGAAGAGATGGGTGAGAGATGGGTGGGAAGAGATGGGTGAGAGATGGGTGGGAAGAGATGGGTGAGAGATGGGTGGGAAGAGATGGGTGAGAGATGGGTGGGAAGAGATGGGTGAGAGATGGGTGGGAAGAGATGGGTGAGAGATGGGTGGGAAGAGATGGGTGAGAGATGGGTGGGAAGAGATGGGTGAGAGATGGGTGGGAAGAGATGGGTGAGAGATGGGTGGGAAGAGATGGGACAGCCGCAAAGATCGTGACGACCTCACCTCACAATGGGCTTACCTGCGCGGATTCGCATGCCTGCGCGGATGGGCATACCTGGGCGGATAAGCATACCTGCCTGGACTTTGAGCGGATAAAGCCTTCGGAAGGCCTTACCTACGGGAAAGGGCTTACCTGCGCGCACACTCCGATGGGCGTTACCTGCGCGCATCAGTGCTACTCCCCGCTAGACCACCGGGTCAAAAAGTTACCTGCGCGCATCTGTGCGTGGCGCTACCTGCGCGCATCTGTGCGTGGCGTTACCTGCGCGCAACTGTGCGGGGCGAAACTACCTGCGCGCATCTGTGCGCGGCGCTACCTGCGCGCATCTGTGCGGGGCGCAACTACCTGCGCGCATCTGTGCGCGGCGCTACCTGCGCGCATCTGTGCGGGGCACAACTACCTGCGCGCATCTGTGCGTGGCGCTACCTGCGCGCATCTGTGCGGGGCGCTACTACCTGCGCGCATCTGTGCGCGGCGCTACCTGCGCGCATCTGTGCGGCGCGCTAGTACCTGCGCGCGAGCGATGGACGATCGCATGTCCTGCTGGAGGTATCGCACGCGCGTGCGACACCACGCTCGCATCGCCTCCTGCCGCGGATTGGCGGCCTGCGAGTGCGCGAACCACACTACCCTCGCGCACAGCCCCGCCCATCCCGCCACCCACGCCGCCCCCAGCAGCGCCCTCGCCACGCCCGACGGCAGGCGGGCCGGCGAGAAACGCGCGAGCGACACCCGCATGCAAGCTGCGACAGTGGGCGACTTTGAGCGACAGAAATGCGACAGGAATGCGACAGCCTAACGCGTGCGGCGAGAATAATGGGAGAGGCTAACGGGGAAGGAGCGACAAGAGAACAGAAAAGGAATGAGATCGAGGCTGTGAAGTCTCTTCGCTCGGAGCGAGGAATTCGAGAGGCTTCGGTGAGGTATGGAGCGACAGGAAAGCGACAGAAGTGGAGGGCGTGGAGCGAGAGGCGAACAAGAACAGAGTAACAGCTGTCGCGAACGAGGGATAAATGCACATATCGAACATTTGAAATGTTACCGCATGTGTAGAAACTGGTGGGTCGATTTGGGATTGGAAAGGTCAAGCCCGGACTCACACCTTTTGTCGAAGCTACCATATCGAGAACCCGGCGCCACCACTGCTTGGTACCCCATCCACCAACCAACCTCTCCGCCCAACCCCCCCCCCCACCTCTCCCGGTCCTCCCCGCCCATGCCTCCCACCTCATCCTTCTCCCCGCCCAATACCCTCCCCGCTTGCTTCCTCTGCCGCTGCGACCTTGCGACATTGCTGCTGACCGTTGTGTGGCTTCACTTCACACACCTGCTCAGTACAACCGTACAGATATGCAACTGACAGCTCTACATTCCACTCCCATTCATCATGGCCCAGTTAGAGTCCATCAGATAGCCTATCCGCAAGTGCGCGCGACGCTAAGCAAGTCGTTTCGTAAACGCAAACATCGTCTCTTCCCGCCTCTCGCCTCTCGCGTTGCCCAGGCTTGCGGATATTGCCACTAGCGAGCGGGCCGAGCGACGCCTTTGGCGCCCCACTTAGCTGGGCGACGCCCCATTAGCCGAGCGACGCCCCATTAGCCGAGCGACGCCGAATTTTCCGGGCGATGGATTCTCGCTCGTCGCCCGTCGTCGCCGAGTCTCCCGGCGACGATTCCGCCTCGCCAATCCATTCGCTATCCGACGATCTTCTCACCTCCATCCTCCGCCTAGTCCTCTCCGCCAATCCCACCGCATCCGTTACAACATCCGATACAAGCACCGGCGATTCTCGCCCGTCCTACCAGGCGGCTCTCGTCTGCAAGCGCTGGTCCCGCGTCGCGCCTCTCGCGCTCACCTCCCTCACAGTCCTCTCCGCGTCTTCCGCCGCCTCCCCCGCCGCCTCCTTTTCCCCCAAGCGCGAGCTGCTCTGCCGCCGCCTCGAGCTAGCGCTGCGCAAGTTTCCGAACCTGACTCGCCTGCACCTCGACAGCCACACGATCGACTTCATCGACGATCGCTTCTTGCGCGCCCTAGGCTCGGCATGCCCGAACCTGACGTACCTCTTCCTGGGAAAGGTTCGGCTGCCAGTTCGGCCGCCGCTCGTCGACGCGGTGAGCGAGACGGGCCTCGCGAGCGTTTTTCGCAGCTGCCGGCGGCTCGAGAATGTGAGCGTGCACTGCGCGCCGAACATCAAATCGCTCCCCGCGTCGCTCCTCGATCTTTCCGCGCTGCACCTGCTGCAGCTCGAAGCGCCGAGTTTAAAGCTCTTCCCGGAAGTCTCCCGGGGGAGACTAAGCACGCTCCGCGATTTGCGGCTGCTGTCGTGCAACGCGCTGCCGTGCCTGCCGGACTGTCTGGGCGACCTCGCGGGTCTCACGCATCTGCGCATCGAGAAATCCGACAATCTCGAGCAGCTGCCGGACTCGTTATGCGACCTGCAGCTGCTCGACGTCCTCGCTATAAGCTCCTGCTACTGGCTCACGTCGCTGCCCGACGATCTCGGGCAGCTGCCGTGCCTGCGCGTGCTCGAATTGGACGGCTGCGGGGGATTGCTCGAATTGCCCTGCTCGCTGCCGCAGCTCCACTCTCTCGAACGACTCGTTATAAGCCGATGCGGTAACCTTACACTCCTGCCCGAAGACATTGGGCAGTTACCACTCTTACGCGAATTGGAAATCAGCAAGTGCCATCGCCTCGTCGGCCTCCCGCCCTCCCTGTCGGACTTAGCCCAGCTCCAGTTCCTGGAAGTTTCCGACTGCACGCGTTTAGAGTCCCTTCCCGACGACTTAGGCCGTCTATCTGTCCTTAGAACCCTGCGCCTCGCCTCGCTTCCTAATCTCACCTCTCTGCCCGAAACCCTAGACCAGCTGACCTTTTTACGAGAGCTCCAATTAGAAGAGATAGACAATCTTTTGGGCCTGCCCGACCCGGTAACGAGCCTCGGGCAGCTGGAAAAACTCGTTCTGGGGCTGTCCTGCTCGCCGAGTCTGCCCGAATCCGTAGGCGCGCTGACCCGTTTGAAAGAGCTGCAGCTGCGACACTGTAAGGGGTTAACGAGTCTGCCTATAGCGATGCGCGCGATGACGCGGCTGGAGCGGCTGGCGGTGGAGGAGTGCTGCGAGCTGGTGGCTCTGCGCCTGCCGGAAGGAGAGGCCGTGGGTGCTACTGGGAGGGATGGGGGAGGGCAAGCAAAATCAAGATTCAAAGAAGAGGGAGGGGTAGCCGAGCAGGTGGAGGAAAAGCAGCGGCAGGAGCAGAAGGAGGGGGAGCAGGGACAGCAGGGTCAGCAGGGGCAGCAGAGGCAAGAGCAGGGCCAGATAGTTGGGTTGAATGCAGCAGCAGCAGCTGGTTCAGCACCGCTCCCAGCCACTCTCACTGACGGACTCAGCCGTCTCACCCTCATGACCAAATCTCCTCAACCCCCCTCCCCCCCCCTTCCCGCTTCCACGTCTTCCTTTCCCCCTCGCACCTCCCCCCGCCTCCGTGCCCTCATACTCGTAGGCTGCACGTCCCTTCGCGCCCTCCCCGCATCTCTGACTGCCCTGGCTGAGCTAGAGCGGCTGGTGGTAACCAGGTGCACCGCGTTACAGTGGGCGCCGGGGAACGTGGCGCGGATGCATGGGCTGCGGGAGCTGAGGCTGGATGGGTGCAGAACGGTGCTGCTGCCGCCGTCGCTGGCGTGCTTGGGCCGGCTGGAGAGGCTGGTTGTAGTGAGTAATGGGTGTAGTGGGAGCGGTGTAGGGGCGGGGGATGAGGTGGGGCCGGGGATGGGGGTGGATATGGATGGTAGCATGAATGGTAGCAGCAGCAGCAGCAGCAGCAGCAGCGGGAGTGGACACGGGTGTGTGACAACCAAGGAAGGTGCCTCTGACATTTGTCGCACTCAAGATAGTGCTGCTGTGGCTGGTGCTGTCATGCTTAGTTCAACAACGGATGGCTCTAGCGCTGCCGCCAATGCCACTAGTGTTAATGCCGCCGCTGCGAGTAGTGGCTGCGGGGGTCGTGGGGCTGAAAGGGGGGCTGCAGGAAATCTCCACAGTGTACCAACTCGTTTGTCACCAGGCAGCAAGGATACCAGGGGTGACACTGTGGCAGGTAGCAGTAGCAACAGCAACAGCAGCAGCAGCAATAGCAGTGGCGGTGGTGACAGCAGTAACTGTAGTGATAACCTCAGTATCTCAGATGGGAGATTCAGCACGAGTTCAAGCAGCAGCTGCAATGGAGGTAGCAACGGGTTCATTGAAACACACTCACACCCTCATCAGCACCACCACCTGCACCCTCATCCGCATTCACACACACCCCCCACACGCGATTCCCCATCGGCCCTTATCCCATCCAATGCAACCGACCCCCCCTCCTCTGCCCACGAGCCCTTCTCCTCCTTCCTCCCCTCGCCGCCCCTGGCTCTCCCCCCCGGCATGGGCCAGCTGGCGCAGCTGAGGGAGCTGGAGGTGAGCGGCTTTGACTCCCTCTCCGCCCTGCCGCCCTCCCTCGCCTCCCTCTCCCGCCTCACCCGCCTCTGCCTCACCGGATCCCTCAAACTCGCCTCCCTGCCTGACCTTCCCTGTGGTCCGGTTGCTGCTGGTAATGATTCCTGCTGCTGCTGTGGTTGCCCCTCCTCCTCCTCCTCCTCCTCCTCCTCCTCCTCCTCCTCCTCCTCCTCCTCCTCCTCCTCCTCCTCCTCCTCCTCCTCCTCCTCCTCCTCCTCCTCTTCCTCCTCGTCCTCCTCCCTCCTCATAGCCCCTTCCCGCACTGCCCCCAACGGCACCTTCTTCCTCCATCTCACCAACCTACGAGACCTGCAGCTCGATTCCTGCCTCTCCCTCTCCTCTCTCCCCTCCTCCCTCTCCTCTCTCTCCTCCCTCAACCGCCTCCACCTCGCCTTCTGCTCCTCCCTCTCCGCCCTCCCCCCACACCTCTCCTCCCTCTCCCACCTTCGCTCCCTCAACCTCCAAGAGTGCATCTCCCTCACCTCGCTCCCCCCCTCCCTCTCCTCACTCGTCCGCCTGGAAGGGCTTTACCTCAAGGGGTGTATCCAGCTGAAAAGCCTTCCGGGCGACATTGGGTATTTGCCGAGGCTAAGGGAATTGGATTTGAGGGACTGTGAGGGGCTGCTGGCACTGCCGGGGTCAATCACCCTCCTTACGGGGCTCAAGTGGTTGGATATATTTGGGTGTAGTAGTTTGGATATGGAGTCGGTCCCTGCAAGGATAGGCCAAGCCACGATCTATCGGAGCTAGTGTGCTTGGGCTTGTGCTAAAGTCAGGCTGAACAAGTTAGGCAGCAAACGCATAGGCTGTGGCATTGAGCAGTAGTCATAATTAAAAGAGTTAGGTGAAACTAGAATCGGAACTTGCAGTACGGTATATGCAGATTTTTTATTATATATATATAAGTGTAAGGAATTTTCTCGGCATTCCTTACGGAGCCGACTACATCGCGTACAGCAACAGCCGATTGTTCGCCCGTTACTGCTAACGGAACTTCGCCGACTTCGCGCGCACGGTTTTACCAAACCTCGCATTGCTGGCATGGCCGTATCGGCCTACGCTTCGGGACTAGCCCGAGCCTCGCTCCAGCGTAGCACTAGCAAGCTCGCACGCACCGCGTTACCGTTTTGCATGTTTCACGTATAAATGTTCGCTCATGCCTTCGCTCACATTTTGTACTCGTTTGACACCTTAGTGCAATTCTCGCTACCTCGATTCATTGCACCCGTAACACTTGGTTATCGGAGCCCCTTTCTTTCGGACCGCGCATCTCCGCACACCAGGAAATCAACTTTTGATTTTTCACTCGAAGGGACTCACGCACCTTAGCCCCTAGGAGCCGCTGTCCTCGCGTTCTCTCGTAAACGCGTGCAGCCACGACTGCGCCTAGACTAAGACGAGCCGACGCCCTTCGCCATGGCCGAAAATATCGACGTCACCACTCTCACGCAGGAGCGTTTGAACGAGCTGCTGCGACAACTGCACGAAAGCTCCGAGGAAATCGCGGCATTAACGGCAGAACGCTCATCACTGCAAAATGACCTCATGAGAGCACAATCTCAAGCACCTGGCACTCCGATTCAACCCGCACCCTCAACATCACAACACGGGAGTGTGGGGCAACCCGCGAGCGCGGCCAGTGATGGCGTCGTCCGCCCCGACGGAGACGACGACCACGGCACGACACACCCCAGAGCGACGCATGCGGCCCCAAGTGAGCCTCGCGTCATGATTTCGGCACCAACCCACGATTCGGGACTGCCGTCACCGATGCCGCTGAAGCCGCAGCGACCGCCATGCTTTGACCCGAGTCAACGGGGTGGCCCTACCGTTCAGGCGTGGTTGTTCACCATGAACGTCTTCTTCGACGCCAACTGCGTCTCGGAGGACTCGGCGAAGATTCGATACGCCGTGTCGTTGCTGCGAGGACCCGCCATGGACTGGTGGCGCGTCATCGTCACGAAGCCGACCGACTACGCGACACTACCGACACGGGAAGGACAAACCGGACCCTGGGCGCCGTCGTATTTCGTGGAGGTGCCCCAGTATCGCACGTGGGACGCGTGGTGCGCAGGTCTGCGCGCTCGATTTGAGCCAATCGCGGCCTCGATCTCGGCGCGACAGAAGCTCCGCACTTGGCGCCAACTCGGTTCCGTCCAGGATTACACGAGCGGATTTCTGGCGCTATGCGAGCAGGTGGGCTACATGCATGAGAGCGAACGCATCGACCGCTACATCGGCGGCCTGAAGCAGGACATCGCTCAGGAAATCCAGCTTCGCGGCGTCACTGAGTTTCAGGAAATTCTCGCTATGGCGGAAAAGCTCGACTTCTTTCGCCAACCGAGACCGGGGTCCTACGGAAACAACAACTGGGGACATCGGCCTCGTGGGACGAACGAAAGCGCCACGATACGCGCCGTCGCCGCAAATGCCGCTGCCGCACCGTTCAAAGGGCGCTGCTTTGCGTGCAATCGGCCGGGACATCGCAAGAGCGAATGCCCGGAAAACGCTAAGGGAAAGGGGGAAGCTGAGCAGCAGACACAGACCAAGCAGCAGGGAAACGCTGGAAGTCAGTAGCAGACGGGCCCTCTACTGACAGGTCACGCCGCTCGCCCGACCCAACCGACCCTCACCGAGTGATTGTGCCGGTTCACGCAATCGACCACACCCGGCCGAATAAGGAGGGTACCACGGTAGACAGCCCTATACTGCTCAATGGGAAAATTGGGACGGACTTAGTTAAAATCTTCGTAGACGGGGGAGCCAGCCACAGCCTCATTAACACTGCTACAGCACGAAAACTGCGACTGCCACTGGACCGATGCTTACCTGAGATCGACGCACGACTGGTAGACGGCACGCCGCTGGCAATACGGGAACGCGTAGACCGAGTTCGGATTCGATGCGGGGGTAACTTCACGTTTAGTCAGGAAATGCTCGCAACGACCCTCGACGGAACCGACATTTTACTCGGGCGTGATTGGCTGCGGCGACACAACCCGCGAATTGACTGGACGACGGGTGACTGCACCGTGCGAGTAAACGGTAACAACATCGCCTTACCTCGCTGGGGCTCGCCTGAGTCTTCGTCGGTGCGTGTCAATGCGATCACGATGAAACGCGCTGTTGCGGCCGGAGCCGACGTGTACGCGGTTGACATTCGGGAAGCCGGGGCAGCAGACAAGGGGGGCGATTTACAGAAACTGCTGACCGACGTACCGAGTGACCTGGCGGCACTGTTAAAACAGTACAGTGACATTTTCCCGGACGACCTGCCGACGGGACTGCCACCTCAGCGACCGCACGATCACAGGATAGAATTGGAACCGGGGGCACAGCCAACAGTACAGCGACAATTCCGACTGACCCAACCCGAACTAGACAAACTGAGGAAGCAGCTCGATTACCTGCTCGAGAAGGAATTCATCCGCCCTAGTTCGTCGCCCTTCGCCGCACCAATACTGTTCACACCGAAAAAGGACGGGGGTTTTCGCATGTGTATCGACTACAGGGCACTGAACAGGGTTACCTTCAAATCCCCTTACCCCATCCTACGAGCCGACGACCTGATCGACCAACTGCGCACAGCCCGGGTTTTCTCGAAAATCGACCTCCGAGGAGGCTACCACCAAATCCGCGTCAACCCACCCGACTGCCCTAAAACCGCATTCCGAACACGCTACGGATCCTTCGAATACACTGTCATGCCATTCGGACTGACCAACGCCCCCGCCACTTTCCAAATGACCATGAACGAAGCATTCCGCCCGCTTTTAGATAAGTGCGTCATCGTTTATCTGGACGACATAGTGATTTACAGCCCTGACAGAGCACAGCACTTACAGGACATCGAAGCAGTTTTTAAAATCCTGAGTGAGAACCGCCTACTGACCAAAGCATCTAAGTGTGAGTTTTTACAGGACCGCCTGGAGTTTCTGGGACATGTTATTTCAGCTGCAGAAGTGGAAATAGACCCGAAGAAAATTGCGACGATTCAGGCTTGGCACGCGCCGACCAACTTGACCGAGTTGCAGAGTTTCCTGGGGTTCGTCAACTACGTGCGCCGGTTCGTCCCCGACATGGCGAAGCTGACTGCCCCGTTGACCGACCTGCTGAGGAAGGGGGTTGAGTACACGTGGGGGGAGAAAGAGCAAGCTGCCTTCTCGGCCCTCAAAGAAATTTTGTGCTCCCCGCCCGTCCTTCACATTGCAGATCCCCACCGTCCGTTCGAGCTCGTCACCGACGCGAGTGACATCGCTGTGGGAGCAGTACTGTTGCAGGACTTCGGGAACGACCTCCAGCCAATCGCGTACGAGTCCCGCAAACTACACCCGCCCGAACGTAACTATCCGATACACGACCGCGAGATGCTAGCGATCGTGCACGCGTTCAAGGTTTGGCGATGTTACCTGACTGGCGCCGACATGACAGTACGGACAGACCACCGCTCGCTACAGTATCTTCGCGCCCAACCGAATCTCAACCCACGACAGATTCGCTGGTTGGACTATCTCGAGTCCAATTTTCCCTACACCGTCACGTACAAAAAAGGAGCATCCAACATCGCCGACGCTCTCACCCGCCCCACCGCCCAACTCCACGCCATCCTACTCGCCCAGACCAACCCGCTTTTAACTGGCCTATTCACCCACGGATACCGCACCGACCCATTTTTCACGACCGGAAATTCACAGCAACTGGCAGAATCAAAAGGAGTTTATTACGTAAAAACAGGCACCACCCGCATTTGGGTACCCGCGTACTCACTACTGAGGGAGCTGCTGCTGCAGGAGGCACACGACGGGATTACCTCGGGACATTTCGGGGTAGAAAAAACACGACAGCAACTGCAGCGGTACTATTACTGGCCGGAGCTGTTGACCGACGTACAGCAGCACGTGGGCTCGTGCCCGACGTGTCAGGTGATGAAGAGTTCAAGGAAGCGGAAGGCGGGTCAATTGCAGCCGATCCCACCGCCCGAACGCGCCTGGCAGCAAGTAACCATGGACTTCGTCACAGGGTTACCTTCGAACCCTGGGGGTAACGACGCGGTAATGGTCGTCGTGGATAGGTTGACGAAGATGGCACACTTCGCTGCGTGCAAAAAGTCGATCTCAGCCGAGGAGACCGCTCGCCTGTTCATCGCAGCCGTTGTTCGCCTGCACGGGATACCAGCAGCAATTATCAGCGACAGGGACACGAAATTTACCAGCAACTTCTGGAAGAACCTCTGGGAGCAGTTCGGGACCAGGCTACAGTTCAGTTCGTCGTACCACCCCGAGACCGACGGCCAAACGGAGCGGACGAATCAGACGATGGAGCAGTTGATTCGTGCCACGTGCGACGACCCCACGACCTGGGAGCAGCAGTTGCCGCTGATCGTGTTCGCGTACAACAACGCCACATCAGCCACGACGCAGCAGTCCCCGTTCTACCTGAACTATAGGCAAAACCCCACAGTGCCCATGACGCCGAGTCCGGACAACCCAACGCCACGTGCACAACAATTCGCCAAAATTCTTCAAGCTGCCCGCGCCAGAGCCGCCGAAGCAATAAAAAAGGCCAATGTCATCGCTAAGCGCAACGCTGATCGCCACCGCCGCCCTGTCACGTACCAATCTGGAGATTACGTGCTGCTCGACACGCAAAATCTGCGACTGCCCGACGTACCGAAACTACGACCGCGCTACTGTGGACCGTTCCAAATCAGTCACATGATCACACCCGTCACTGCACATCTACTGTTACCA